AAAAAAAAAACAGCCATTTTGTTATGCCCATGGATTCTGTGAGTTAGGAATTCAGACAGGGCATAGTGGGGTTGGCTTGTCATTGCTCTATGATGTCTGGGGCCTCAGCTGGGAAAACCTGATGACTGGGGGCCAGAATCCCAGGATGGTAGACTTAAGGTAGTCAAATGTCTTACATGGCAGCTCAGGGCATTGCCTCTATAACCCAGTTTGGGAAGTTACATAGCATTACTTCCTATTGGTGGAAGCAGTCATAGATTTAAATACAGGAGAATTAGACTCCACTTCTTGATGGTGAAGTGTCAAGGTCACTTTGTAGAAGATGGCATGGGACAGGAGCTCTTCTGGTCATCTTTGGAGATGACCACATTTGCTTCTTTGGCATAACCATTATTATGCAAAATGTCCACTCTAAGAGCTCCCCAAAACCTCTTTCCATTAAAGCACTATGCTCAAGCTCAGTGTCCAAGATTTCTTCATATGAATCGGGTCCAGGTGTGAATAAGGTCCCTCAGGTATGGTTCCTTAAGTACTCAATTTGAAAACCTGTGAACTAAACAGACACATTATCCACCCCTCTACTTCACCCCCTTACATAAAAGAACAGGACAGGGATAAGATAACCACAACTCCTGTTCAGAAAGGGAGAAAATAAAAGACACTAGACTATAACAATTCTGAAATCTAGCTGAGTACAAGTTGCCAGTTCCTCTGGAGTTGTTTTCCATGGCTCTTAGTTCTGCCCTCTGGGATCTTGACCCTGAGCTCTGACCTGAGTCAATCTGCCTTTCCCATGAGAAAAGACCTGCATTTGCAACTAAGTAGATTTCTGAACCATAAACGTGTGGGAAGTCAAAGACCTCTTTTCACTTTGAATTGTCTCTCTCACTTTCAAGCCAATCCAATTCAATTCCTTTAAAACCTTTGTGGATTTCTTCTGGATCAGTTTTCATTCCCCTTCCATTAAACAAAAGCCACACTCACAAATCTCTTCAAAATAAGCCCTCTTCTACTTTGGGCTCTCCATGAGGTTACTGTGGAACAAGGCCTTTAAAATTGTTAGAAATTCTGTTGTTCACTGCAGAGGGTCTGCAAAGCATGCTGTCACTATCCTTAAAAAGCCTTCTGTCTGGTTGAAAGGGTCTACAAGGCACCACTTAAAATTTTCCAGGTGTCTTAATGAAGCATTGTAATGTTGGGCACTTGCCTTCACCTTTACCCTGAGATGTTTACCCTTAGATTTGATCTTTGCCCTGGAGCTCTTTCTAACTTGGAGAATCTTCTACTGGGAGAAATTTGGAATAAAAAATTGTTTTTGAATCCAGCTACTCCTGACTTCTAAATTCATTTAAATTTAACTCTTGAAACTGATCATTTTCCTTCTTTCGTTCATCTCTCTCTATCATACCTAACAATACACAGCTCAGAGAAACCAGGTGATACTTTCAGTGCTCTGCTTGGAAATCTCCTCAGGCCGGGGGTGACTTGATGGCTAAGAGCTGGAAATAGCTGGAAATAGCTGGAGGTTCTTTCACTCACATGTCTGGCATCTGGGCTGGGAAGACTTGAAGACTGAGACAACTAAATGAAGTAACTGTGTGTGGCCGCTCAGTTGAGTTGGTTTCATTACAGCATGGAGGCCTCAGAGAGTTGAACTTCCTACTGATGGCTCAGGGCCCTAAGAACAAGCGTTCCTGTGAACAAAGTGAAAGTGTCATGAACTTTTCTGACCCAGCCTTGTATCTCATACAGTATCATCTACACTGAACTCTGTTGGCTGAAGCAGTTACAGGCTCACCAGATTTAAGGAGCAGGGGATTAGACTCTATGTCTAGAAAGGAGAGTGGCACAGTTGCCCTCTGTTGCCATGGTTATACAAGGGCAGGTAGGAAAGGAGATGTTGCTGTTAAGTACAATCTGCCTCACTATCTATATTTTGATACATTTCAAAATAAGTTATAGACAGCCTTGCACTCCTCCACCGAAAGTGTGTGAAAGTGCCCCGAATCCTCACCAACATTGGGAATCGTCTCTTACATTTTAATCGCTCTGGTTTGTGCTCAGTGGTGTCTGTGTGTTAATCTGCATCCTAACTGACACTGTTGGCTGCTTTATCTTGTGCTTGTTGACCATATCTTCCTCTGTGAAGGGTCTTTTTAAATCTTTTGCACATTTTCTGGACTTTTTATTATTGAGTTAGTACGGATTATATGTTTTATGTTCTCCTAATCTTTGACTTTGCTTTTTATTTTTTACTGGCATCTTTTTTTTTCTTTTTTTAATATGTCTTTATTGATTTCAGAGAGAGGAGGGGAGAGGGAGAGAGAGAGAAACATCAATGATGAGAGAGAGTCATTGATCGGCTGCCTCCTGCACGCCCCCGACAGGGGATCAAGCCCACAACCCAGGCATGTGCCCTGACCGGGAATTGAACCTTGATCTCCTTGATCCTAGGTCGATGCTCAACCGCTGAGCCATGCAGCCAGGCATACTGGCTGGCACCTTTTGATGAGCAGAGGATTTTAGCTTTAATAAACTCTACCTTAGCAGTTTTTTCCTTCCTGGTTATTTCTCCCTATGTCATATATTAGATATCTGACTACTCACAGTTGCAAAGATATTATCCTATGTTTTCCTTTAGAAGCTGTATCGTTTTAGCATTTATATTTAGGTCTATTTGCCATGTTTAATTAATTTTTTTAGTGTGGTGTGAAGTGAGGGTTGGGGAAACTTTTTCCTGTGTCACTGTGTCAACTTAGCTAAGCTGGAACTCCATTACCCTTCCCTGTATGGAAGGTGGACATGAAGAAAGCACCATCTTTAAGCTCCAATGGCCCATATAGGGCCAGACACATTGTCACTTAGCTGCTGGATCACCTCTTAGATGCTGGCAGCAGCCGGGCACACAGCTCTTCCAGCCCCACCAGATTACATCTTTCCACTCCTCAGAGTCCTGGGCTAGGGAGTGCCCGCCCCTCCATGGTGAAGGGCACCAGCTCATTCTGTAGGGCGCCCATGTCATTAAAGTTGGTGGTGGTGAGAGACAGATGCAGGTTCCAGTTTGTCCTTGCTGTCCCTCTCCTCACATCTATCGTTCCTTCCAGTCTACCAGGTCAGCTCA